GAGGCCCCATTAGCTAAAGTGGTGCTTCAGGTTAAGAACAGTTTCAGGTTAAGAATGGACCTCCGGAACGAATTAAGTACTTAACCTGAGGTACCACTGTACTGCTTGGTGCTGAGTCAAGACCACTGATCTATTTAGCCAAGTATTGTCTACACTGACTGACAGCAATTCTCTCTCTTCTCCCCACCCAATATTTTATTAAAGTTCTCACAATACAGTGAAATAATATCTAGAACAAATGGAATCAAAACAACAAAAAGGAAAGAGAAGAGAACAAGAAAAGATAAGAAAAGAGAAAGAGAGAGATAAGGAACATTAAGAATAGCAGCAAAAATCACCATCATAATAAAGCACAATATATCTATATATCTATATCTAATCTATATCTATATCTATATCTATATCTATATCTATATCTATATCTATATCTATAATCTATATCTATATCTATATATATATCTAGCCTTCTCTCATAATTATACCATATGTTCTGTCCATATACAAAGTAGGTAGGTAAAGGTAAAGGACCCCTGGATGGTTAAGTCCAGTCAAAGGTGACTATGGGGTGCTGCGCTCACCTCGCTTCAGGCCGAGGGAGCTGGCGTTTGTCCACAAACAGCTTTCTGGGTCTTGTGGCCAGCATGACTAAACCGCTTCTGGCGCAACGGAGCACCGTGAAGGAAACCAGAGCGCATTGAAACACCATTAACCTTCCCGCCTCAGCGGTACCTATTTATCTACTTGCACTGGTGTGCTTTTGAACTGCTAGGTTGGCAAGAGCAGGGAATGAGCAACGGGAGCTCACCTGGTTGCAGGGATTCGAACAGCTGACCTTCTGATCGGCAAGCCCAAGAGGCTCAATGGTTTAGACCACAGCGCCACATGCTTTATGACCACTTTTGGGCAATGCTTCTTAGCAGATTGAGATGCCGCCTTACAATTCTCTGGTTTCTTATAACAGATGTGTACCTTTTATTGGATTTTTATAGTCTAGTTTGATTTCTTGAGATCCACGTTTGACACAGTTCTCCAGCACTGAGGGAAACTCTCTCTACTTGAGAGCAGTGTTGAAATTGTTCAAAAGAGTTAATTGATACCTGTCTATGTGTGATCAAAGTCCCGGCTGAGGACGTTGGGACTGGGGACAAGATGGCAGGGTGGGAGCAGGAACGAGAGTCCGGAAGCCAAGGGTCCAAGGGTCAGGAAGCAGGGAGTCAAGAAGTCGAGGTCCAAGGATCAGGAAACAAGAAGCCAAACACAGCAAGGCAGAAAGTGTGTTGCTGTGGCAAAGAGCTAAAGGGAAATGCTGACCTTATATCCCTTCCTGGCTCTTGCCACAGGTACAGTGAGTTACCAAGCGGCCTCACCTGTGTGGCCGTGCCTTGCCTCTCCAGAACAAACTTAGGAAGGCCCCAGTCCTGCGAAGCCCTACTGGTCACAGGGCCTGGCTCCTACATGCACTCCTGACAATACCCCCCTCCCCAGATGAAGAGTGCCACAGTTCAGAATGTCTTGGTACTAACTACAAGGAAAAAAAGTGTGTGTCTCCGTGTTGCTTTTGCTGCAGCACAGACCAACAGGACTAGTTCTCTAGAAATCTTTACTTTTTGCTGTCTTTGATGGCAGGGGTTTACACTTTTGGCTCCTCAAGATGAAAGTTAACCATTATTTTATATCTCTTTCTGCCTCCTCAAAAGCAGCTGGGAGGGTAGGGGAGGGTGCAAGACCAGGATAAGGAGGGAAATGATGTCACTCAAACAACTGAAATGTCTCTATCGCTTCTAGCAGAGCACAACACAATTCTTCAGAATCGGCAACCTAGCACGGTGCTTCAGGGCCGGGCTACTGGAACATAATCAGAGAATAATGCAAATGAGTACTAATGAACCAAGTTCATTCATCACCCATGATTAGGAGAGGATTCAGTTCCATCTGCCAAGTGTGATCTATATCGCATGTGGGCGCAGCAAATATGTAACGTTTGTCAATATCCTTGCTGCCGAAGTACATCAAACTGCGGAATATGGAGCTCGGTTGCCAAAACACTTCAGATCTGCCACAGCTGAGCATGCAGGGGTTCAGCTCGTGAAGCAGGTGCCTGTATTCAGGCTCCACAATTTAAATAACTCAGCAGAAGCTTTCATCTTCGCCGCCAGCATCTACATAAAAGGGGGGGGGGAAGGGCAACACTTTTAGAAAAGATTTTAAAACTCAATTATTAACTCAAACTCAATCAGGAAAACATGGCACCATCTGACTTGCAAAGTGCATGACTAAATTAATGAATGCAGCTCCAATTAGGAAACAGAAGGAGGTGGGCCATGAAATTATACATCTCTATTTTCATGGCGGAGAGGAAATGGCTGCGGTCTGATGAGCGGCATATGATGTGGAGAAGTGTCTAAAGAGAGTGAAACTTGTTCCTGGAATGAATTGATCTCTCTCTGTGCGTATGTGTGTGTCTTAACAGCATGATGAGTAGGGTGCAGGCCGCAAGTAATTCGTATCTGGTGACTTACATTGAGATTTCACTGTGTGTGTGTATGCTGGTTTACACATCGCATCTTTTCTCACAAAGACAATGTGTGGGTCACAATTGTGCATATCAAGAGCTGTAGAGTGAGAATACGCAGATTGCTCCCCCTTCCAAGCCTTGTTCTGTGTCCAATAAGTGCAGGACGCCTTTGCCCAGTGATGCTGTGACCCATCAGTAAAGGTAAAGGGACCCCTGACCATTAGGTCCAGTCGTGGCCGACTCTGGGGTTGCGGCACTCATCTCGCTTTACTGGCCGAGGGAGCCGGCATACAGCTGGTCATGTGGCCAGCATGACTAAGCCGCTTCTGGCAAATCAGAGCAGTGCATGGAAACACCGTTTACCTTCCCGCCAGAGCGGTACCTATTTATCTACTTGCACTTTGACGGGCTTTCGAACTGCCAGGTTGGCAGGAGCAGGGACCGAGCAACGGGAGCTCACCCCATCACGGGGATTCGAACCGCGACCTTCTGATCGGCAAGTCCTAGGCTCTGTGGTTTAACCCACAGCGCCACCCGCGTCCAGCTGTGGCCCATAGATTACAGCAAAATACTGGGCAAGGTTTTGCCGAGTACAGTGGTACCTCTACTTATGTACCCCTCTTATTATGTATCCTTCGGGATATGCACGCGGCAAACCTGGAAGTATATTTCCAGGTTTTGCGGTGTGCACATGCGCAGTAGCGCTCTATCGTGCCACAAACATGTGAAGAAGAGCTCTCTCGTGCCGTGCATGTGTGCAGAACAGGAACCTCTGCTTGCGGAAACCTTGGGATCCGACCGGAGCTCCGGAACGGATCCTGTCCGCAACTGGAGGTACCACTGTATCTTGTTTGTGTGGTGGGCTCATGGGAAAAAGCTGTCCCATGAGCCCTTGCAAAGGCTGCTTCCCCTGGAGCTCAGGGCCATTTTGCCTTGAGAGCTATCAGATTTGTTGTGGCAGAAGCATAAACTGTACACACAGACACAGGTATACAGATGGTGGAATGGTAACTAGTGAAGCCAAACAGCCCTGAAATGCTGACGGGATGAGCACAGTGCCCATTCACAAATCATAGAATCATAGAATTGTACAGCTGGAAGGGACCCTGAGGCTCATCTAGTCCAACCCCCTGCAATGCAGGAATATGCAGCTGCCCCATACGGGGATCAAACCTGAAACCTTGGCGTTATCAGCACCACACTCTAACCAACTGAGCTACCCCAGAAATTATCGTTGCAAAACTAACAAAGCGCTTGGATGATAGAACAGTTAATAAAGCGACCGTGCATTAATTCAACGCTAATGCACAACGATGTGTTGCAGAATACATCTGCAAAAACAGCCAACAACTCACCAGTCTAGAGGGGCACTGGATGTTTCTTATTCAGATTCACAACCATCTTGCCTCATAGAATAACAATCATTCTGTGGGCTAGACAAGAAAGCCAACAGACGCAGAAGTCACTTAAATTTTCATGGCAAAACAGGGTGCCTGTGCGTGAAAACCATTATCTGCCTCCAGAGGTTAGTGGGAGTTACCGACACATTCCCTAGGGACAGAATCCACCCCCCTGCCAAAGAGAGAAGAACAATTTTTCAAGCTCCTGGGAGGCTTAAGACTGAGCCTGAATAATACTCTGCTCTGATTGCTGCAATCCTTCTCCTCTCCTCTCCCTAGATTATTCGCTGATGATTAATGCTCAAATAAATTGTATTCATTTGCTTGCTCAGAGGAGGGAGAATGCTACTATTCAAGACGGCTGATTTCATTACTTGCCAAGGGCCAGAGTCTGCCACCCGCGGCTCATAATGAGCATCACTTTTTCATGGAGGACCCGACAGTCAGGCTGATGAACTGTAATGCATATACATTTGGCCCCAGTGAAGTCCACAAAATGGCTTTGAAAAAGTAGCTGCTAACCGGGGATTGAATAAGCTTGGCAGTTTTATCCCAAATAATGTTGTTACCCAACTGGACAGGAGCACCTGGAAGGTTAAAAGGTAAAGGGACCCCTGACCAATAGGTCCAGTTGTGGCCGACTCTGGGGTTGTGGTGCTCATCTCGCTTTATTGGCCGAGGGAGCCGGCGTACAGCTTCCGGGTCATGTGGTCAGCATGACTAAGCCGCTTCTGGCGAACCAGAGCAGCACACGGAAACACTGTTTACCTTCCCGCCGGAGCGGTACCTATTTGTCTACTTGCACTTTGACGTGCTTTCGAACTGCTAGGTTGGCAGGAGCAGGGACCGAGCAACAGGAGCTCACCCCACCGTGGGGATTTGAACCACCGACCTTTTGATCGGCAAATCCTAGGCTCTGTGGTTTAACCCACAGCGCCACCCGCGTCCCCACCTGGAAGGTTAGGTAATATGAAAAGAAAAGACTGCCTTCAATTATCCAAGGGGAAGGGCTGTAGCTCAGTGGCATCACAGAATCATAAAGCTAGAAGGTCATTTAGTCCAGCCCCTTGCAATGCAGGGATTTTTGCCCATCATGGGGTTCCAATCCATGCCCTGAGATTAAGAGTCTCATGCTCCCAGTTGAGCTATGACTGGGAAGGACTTCGTGTTTGAAACCCTGGAGAGCCATTGCCTGTCAGTTTAGAAAATATTGAGCTAGATTCTCAAACCTGGGTCCCAAGACACTGTTGAACTACAACTCCCATCAACCTGAGCACTGGTTCTGATAGTTAGGGGTGATGGGACCCAAGTTTGAGAAAGGCTGAACAAGATAAAATTATTGTCTGGTGTAAGACAGCTTCCTACGAGTGTGTGTGTGAGGGTGGGTGGGTTATGGTGTCTCTCTGTGTTTGCATATAACCCTAACTGTGCGATGAGAATGGAAGGGATTTTTAAAAAAGAAAGTTCTGTACAAAAGTCTACACTGGAAATTTGTAATTCTGATTAAGAACAGTTTGTATCCTGCCAGTAGTGTAGTGTGGGTTGCTGGTGCCCGGGGTGGGGAAAGTGTGTGAGTACTACCATTGCTTTGAATGCCTTCTCCACCAAGATGTTCAAGACTATTTTGATGCATCTGTGGAAAAGAACATGGATCTTTTAAAAAAATCTGGTGACCTCAACATTAGGGGTATGTTTTCCTTTTTAAAAAATGAGGACAAGGTCATTTATTTTATTTTATTTTATTTTCCATTTTAAAATAGTTTATTTGCCACAGCACATATTTCAAACACTCTCATACTCTCAAAAACCATAGAATAACACATCCTGTGCTCCAATCTCATTAAAAGGAAGGAATACATTATATCTGCAACAATTTGAAAGGTTCAAATGTATACCTCGAGTATTCCAAACTCTGTTACCCACCCGAAACACTACTCCTTTATGTGCTTCGCGACCTGTGTATTCAATAAAATTGCCCCACACTGCGTAGAAGTTATCATTTTTCTTTTGGCCTTTTGCTACCTGCAGTTTCCATGTTAGCTTTTCCAACAAAGCTTTTTGCCAGACTGCTTCATGCCGCTTATCCATTGTCAACAGTTGCAATGTTTTCCATGTACTGGCTACAGTGGTTCTTGGTTATAAGATCTTTATTTCTGATTCTTGGTGACTCCTGACTGTACAAATTAAACAATGCCAGTCCTGGGGGCATAGGAAATGTCTGCCTTGTAATCAAAGATATCTCTGCAAAGACATTTCCCCAGAATTTTTCTATTTTTGAAAACTCCCACCACATATGTCTGTATGTCCCAGTAGTGGGACACCTTCTCCAACACATAGGAGAGCTGTTGGGTTTTATATAAGCTAGATGTCTAGGTGTTAAATTCCACCCATGTGTCATTTTGAGGGCTCTTTCTCTTGTCATTGCTGAAATAGATTTATACAGAAATAGATCTACAGTTCATTCCATGCCTCTTCCTCAGTTTCTAAATCCCAATTTTATTCCCACCATTCTCTCATATTATTCTGGGGAGGGAAATGTGCCTCTACAGTTGATTTATACAAGGATGATATTAACCCTTTTATAGCTATATTTTCTTCTGCTATTATCTTTTCGTATGACTTTAATTGTCCCGTGGCTTCAGTTTTAATGAGGCTAAAAACGAGATTTCATAGGTGAAATGCAAGCTTCTATGAAAAAAGGGTTATAAATAGGTAAAAATCTAATGCTATTATTTTTAAGATCAAGGATTAGGATAATTAAAGAGGGTAAGGATTTGCTGAACCAACAGATTGAAGTGGAATACAAAAAAGGGAGGTATGAGGAGGTCCGGGAAACAAGCTAAAGGAAAATAAGTAATGGAAAATCTGTGTGTTTTTAACCATTTTTATTTTGTATTTTTGTTATTTTTTTCACTTTTATTGTAATATTTTAAAAAAATCTTAATAAATATCTTATAAAAAAAGAAAAGAAAAAAGAAATGCAAGCTTCATCAGTGTTGGAACCTTCCTAGGCCCTGAATACAGCAGAAAGTATGGGGAACACTATCTCCCATGAGATGTACATCTAGATCGCCTTCTGGTTGCATCCAAACAGCGCTCAAAGACTTAGCTATTCTAAGCTTGTTTTAATTACATAACGTTTGTTGGACTAAAATTTTAACTATTGCTCCTTTGATGCCATATTGGGTGGTTTCATTATTCTGTAGCATATGTTTTTGTTTAAAAATCCAGTCACTAAATTAGAGATGCCAATAATTTTTTGACAAACATTTTTGCCAATGCCAACTTTTTCTTACATCTCATAGAAGAAGAAACATTTCTACCAATTCTCGACTTATTGACTCTTGTGATCACAAAGGTGCCATTTCCACTTTGGAACTCAGCTGAGGAAAAAAAGACCCAGTGAAAACGGCATGACTTAGTACTTTCATATTAATCTATTTTTGAAAGATATAAATGTGGGCGTTTTTCATGGTACAGGAATTTGACCCGGCACACACCTGTGTCTTAGCTTGTTCTGCATTAAACATCTAAGTTGCCTTTTTCACTTTCAAAATGGTGAAATCATTGGCTTTGTCTTTAGAGCACATTTATTCATTACCATTTCAAACAAAAAGGCTCCAGCTTTTCTGAGCTATCCTGAGGATATGTTTCTTTTCAAGCCTCAGGGATGCAGACGCATTTCCCACCCACTCCCAGGGTCCATTTCTTTCAGCTACAAATATGTCCAGACCTTCCATTATCCTGTTTCATTCGCCTCCCCATGATATCCTCAAACGTTCCAAAGTGGTAGGGCCAGTGCAACTTTGAAAGAAAGAACCATTTGCATCAAAATCCCTAGAGGTTCAGAAAGTGACAAGGTACAGAAAGCCAGCCTTTATGCTTACCCCAAATCCCTTTTAAAATGGTGAACTAGATTTGTTAAGAAAGGCAAATGGGTATTCTCAGGAAATATCTGCACCATACATTTAAAAGCACCATTGTACCACATTAACATGGACGCGGGTGGCGCTGTGGGTTAAACCACAGAGCCTAGGACTTGCCGATCAGAAGGTCAGGGTTCGAATCCCCATGACGGGGTGAGCTCCTGTTGCTCGGTCCCTGCTCCTGCCAACCTATCAGTTCGAAAGCACGTCAAGTGCAAGTAGATAAATAGGTACTGCTCCGGCGGGAAGATAAACGACGTTTCCGTGCGCTGCTCTGGTTCGGCAGAAGTGGCTTAGTCATGCTGGCCACATGACCCGGAAGCTGTACGCCGGCTCCCTTGGCCAATAAAGTGAGATGAGCGCCGCAACCCCAGAGTCGGCCACGACTGGACCTAATGGTCAGGGGTCCCTTTACCACATTAACAGGCATGGATAATCCTGGGAGCTGAAGTTTGCTATGAGTGTTGGGAATTGTAGCTCTGTGAGGTCAGCTCTCTTAATATGCTAGAGTTCCCAGAATTCTCCATGTCTGTTAAAGTGCTTTTAAATGTGTGGGAGGGACGAGATTTCATCAGTCACTGAACTAAAGGCACTGCGCTGCGTTGCCAATGTTTCGGTTACATCTGAGTCTCACTAAAGGAACCTTGACCAGGTTGTCGGGATTCACAGAATGCTGTGTGAGACAGTAAGTCTGCAGGCTTGAGTTTGGTAGCTGATGCAACTGGCTGATGCAATTAGCCTGCAATACTTTCTATGGAAGTGCTTGGTCAGAATGACTCAGCAGTAATATGCTGGCAGTTGATTGGCTGTCATCGGTTTAAAAGGGAAACCTGTCCAGCAGTAAAGGTGTGGTGTAGAAGAGTGCGGTGAGAGAGAGAGAGAGAGAGAAAAAAAAAGAGAGAGATAGAGAGAAAGATAGAAAGGTCTTTCTATTTGCCTTAAGTTGCAGCCAGGTACTCTGTTTGACTGTATGAACTGCTCATGTATTATAGCCTATAGATATTTGTATATTCAGTGGTACCTCAGGTTACATACGCTTCAGGTTACAGACTCTGCTAACCCAGAAATATTACCTTGGGTTAAGAACTTTGCTTCAGGATGAGAACAGAAATCGTGCTCCGGGGGTGCAGCAGCAGCAGGAGGCCCTATTAGCTAAAGTGGTGCTTCAGGTTAAGAACAGTTTCAGGTTAAGAACGGACCTCCAGAAAAAATTAAGTTCTTAACCCGAGGTACCACTGTACAGTCGTACCTTGGAAGCCAAATGGAATCCATTCCGGAAGTCCGTTCAACTTCCAAAACATTCAACTTCTAAGGCGCAGCTTCCACCGGACGTTCAGCTTCCAAAAGAACGTTTGCAAACCGGAACATTCACTTCTGGGTTTGTGGCATTCGGGAGCCAGAATGTTTGACTGCTAAGGCGTTTGTCAACCAAGGTACGACTGTATTAGAATCTTTTCCTCTAAGCATGGATATCATCATCATGATCATTCCCTCTATTCTATTTCAGAGGGGAATGTTTTTGCTTATGTAGCCGTAACAACCCCATCCACAGACTTGGAGGAAGCCCAAATTTTGCAGAAGTACAAAGGAATAGTATGGGGGGAATTGTAAGGGAGGTTTGTATTATTGTAAATTATGCTTGTTGTTTGTTATGTTTGTGTCTGATGGGGTGGATTTCTGTGTTGTGGGGTGGGGGGTTTGTGCTATGTTGTAAATAAAATTTCCAATAAAAATTTTAAAAAGAAAAGAAAAAAAGGACAGTTTCAGCAGTCAAAACTGTTCAACAGTCGACGCCTTAGCAGTTGAACATTTTGGCTCCTGAATGCTGCGAACCCAGAAGTGAATGTTCCGGTTTGCGAACGTTCTTTTGGAAGCTGAACGTCCGGCGGGGCTTCTGCGGCTTCTGATTGGCTACAGGAAGCTCCTGCAGCCAATTGGAAGCCGCACCTTAGAAGTTGAATGTTTTGGAAGTCGAACGGAACTCCGGAACGGATTCCAATTGGCTTCCAAGGTACGACTGTATAGTGGTACCTCAGGTTAAGAACTTAATTCATTCTGGAGGTCCGTTCTTAACCTGAAACTGTTCTTAACCTGAGGTACCACTTTAGCTAATGGGGCCTCCTGCTGCCGCAGCGCCGCCGGAGCACGATTTCTGTTCTCATCCTGAAGCAAAGTTCTTAACCCGAGGTACTATTTCTGTGTTAGCGACGTCTATAACCTGAAGCG